GGAAGAGGAACGGAGGGGGGTCGTGGTTGGCGGCGGAACCGAGTGGCGCTTTCCCCGCGCCCCGGGAGGCCGTTGTGGCCTCGCGTGCGGAGAAGTCGTCGTCGTTGTCGTCGGCTTCGGCTCCGGAAGGGGAGGGGTCGAGCCTGACAACAGCGTGGATTCCGCGATTTGCCGTGCGGAACCCCCCCCCCCCGATCGGCGCCAGTGGCGGTTTCCCCGAATTTCTTCTATTCTCGGCAGCAAGCATCGTGGAGAGCTGCACCAAGGTGGGGAAATCCTGCGCGGAGAGGTTGCTCTCGCAGGAAGTAAGAAAACCTAGCATCGAGGTGGCCGCCTCTCTCCGATTTCGGGGGGTCTTTGCGGGAGAGGGAGGGAGCGAGGCATTTCGCACCCTCCGAGAGCGCGTCGATGGCTGCGGTTCGTCTTGTACACCCTTTCGGGATACCTTGGTGCTCTCCTGGACGGCATCTACAACCATATCAGAAGTGGATGTCGAGGGGGGCATCCGCTCTTCCTTATTATTGGCATCGTTGCGGAGATAATCCGCCAGGCGCCGCAGTGTGGGGAATTCCTCCTCTGATGCACCGCAGTGGAAAACTAAGTATTCTATCGCCCCTCCTGTGGAAAGGCGGACGGAGTGATGGGCAGAGACCTTTGGTACGGCTTCCAAGTGGGTTTCATTCTCTTCCGACTCTTTCTTCGGAGAGGCAACCTTATCGGAGGGTCGCGTGGCTTCTAACGAACAGCAATCGACTAACTTCTCCAGCGTCTCCAGCTTACCATTCTCAACGCCAACGCCGTCAAGAATAGGCTGAAACATATTTAATCAAGCTAAAAATGCACTATCTACTCGGGTTATCAATCATCCTTATTATAATTATTACACAGGTAAAGAAAGCTCTTCTATTTAGAGCTTTGCGATGCGGCGTGTATCTATATAGAATTACATTAATAAAAATGGCTCAGAGAAATCAGACATGGGCTCACAACACAGCGCGCCGTTCCCTTCTTCTATCACCTACACACGCACTAAGTTTTATGTAAGAAAACAGATTATCAGCCATACATTAGAGATTATTACTGCACATCGAATGCCTTGAGGCTGTCTCCGTGAGGAAAAGTTTTTCCATTGAAGAAACTACGAATGATTAAAAAACAAATTTAGAAGTTCTACTGGTGAACCTAAATTTTCTCTCCTCTCTCCTCTCGCCGTTTCTCCTTCTAACGGAATAATAATAATTACTACATGCTGAATCCGTTTCTTCCAGATTTGGAACCTAAGCGCTATCCTTAGAAATTTGCATAATGCTCCAATGACATAGGGTTTTCACGCATGGTTCGATCTATTCATCACTTATCATTAAAGACATTAGCTTCTCAATTGAATCGTTGTTTGCCACCTGTGGCCGCGAGCTGGGGGGTGGGAGAGACATTACCAAGAAGGGGTCGGAGGCCGCCCATTTGTCGGCAAACATTGATGGGTTGATCGCCATGGTGGAGAAACCCTCCGCTGCGGACGGAAAAGGAGGTGAGTTCTGGATCAGAGGTTTGCTCATCCCCGCAGGCGGTATGTTCACGAAGTGGTGGTTCTCATTTGTTACTGTAGTAACCTCCGTCGAGGCCCGATTGCTATCGGTGTCCTCCTCACTACCTATGAGTTCTCGGATCAATATACTTTGCACGGCAGGGGAGGACACCGACTCGACGGGATGCCCATGCCCGCCCCGCGACGACGCCGCGTCGATGCTCCCCATCCCACTCTCCGGGACGGGCCGGAGGTGGAGCGACAGCGGGGATGCCAGCGAGAGCCACTGCTGGGGGTGGTAGAAGCTTTCACTACTGCTTAGCCCGTCCCCCAGGACGGCCTCCGGGGGCGCGACCCCGGACGGGACACCACAGGGGACCCGTGACGGCAGACTCGGCGTGACACACGATGGGCCCCGTGGGGTGACACAGGCTGTGACACACGACGGCACACGCGGGGTCGGGACAGGCCCGTGCGCGGTCCCGCCTAAGGATGCGGCGGAACCGAAGCCGACGCCGGGGCCCGTGCGCGGGGCCACCACGGGTTTCCCCAGCGAAAGCCCCCCCGGGGCCTCCTCTTCGGGCGTCCGAATCGGGGAGTCGGAGTGTCGGTTGGGGGTCCGCATCATCGCCTCGAGGTCCGCGAACCGGTCAGGCAGCAGGGCCTCACCTGGGGTCGTCCCACTCCCGCCTGGTTGAGGGGGAAGGAGACGGGCCAGGGTCGTGCTATCGTGGGGTCTCGGGAGAGGCACGGGCCCACTCGCCTTCCGGCTTTCCTGCATGGAAATTAGGCGCTGCAGTGAGGTCTCGGTGCTTTCCATGCTTCCGGTGACGGTGAAACTAGGGGCGGAGTTGGCTTTGACCAACGCTGAAAGTGACGCTATTTGGGAATCGACGCCCGTGAAATGCTCGGGAAACTCGCCCCCACCACGACAGGGCTTGGATGCAGCGTCGTTTTCCGCGTTATGGTCGTCATCGATGACAGTTGAAGGGGTTCCCTCGTTAAAGTAGCCCTCGACGTGCGCATTCATCCACCCAGAGACGTTATGGTACCGCTTCTGGTGCCAGCTCTGGCCTACTTCTACGGATGAATTTGGTTCATCCCTATCAAAAAGGGCGAGGACATCTTTCACATCCTGGACGGGCTTGAGACCCTCCTCCTCTGTGGGGTCGATGAATTTATGTGGTGCGGCTTCGACCGCAATGGTGTTCACTTTGTTAGAAGGTTGAACAAGGGGCTTGGTGATATCGACCCTTTTGAATTTCGCTTTGCTACGCCCCATACCTAACTTTCGTTTTTAGAAGTAAGTATAAGTATTTTTGTCTAAATACAAAACGGAATCCTTTTTTTCGGGGGTGGAAAAAGGGATAGAAAGTTCTTAAACCGATATATAGCGACTTACGCCCTTCCTTTTTTGGATATTTTGTATTTCTTCCTTTTCGATACACCACACAAGTAATCAGAGTTGGGATTAAAGAAATTGCCACTTATTTTTGATTCTACTTTCATGACAATTAGAAAGCAAGACTGAGGAATACAACCAAATCATTTACAAAAACAGGGCAAGCCATGCAAAGCAAACAACCCACACGCAGGAGGCAGCTAAAAAGAGGTTGGAGGCCTCGTTTATCAATAAATGAATCTAACACAGTGTATTTTGAAATAAAAATAGACCCCTACGGCTTCCCCAGTCCGAGAGGCCTCATCTTAATCATTCCACTATTTTATTCCACACACACACACACACACACACACACACACACACACACACACACACACACACACACAC